AAGGAGCCTCGGTGTCCTTTGAAGGATGAATGGATAAAGAAGATGTGGTTTATGATACAATGGAATATTACTCAGCCATTAGAAATGACAAATACCCACCATTTGCTTTTACGTGGATAGAACTGTAGGGTATTATGCTGAGTGAAGTAAGTCAATCGAAGGACAAACATTATATGGTCTCGTTCATATGGGGAATATAAAAACTAGTGAAAGGGATTATAGCGGGAAGGAGAGAAAATGAGTGGGAAATATCAGAGAGGGTGACAGAACACGAGAGACTCTTAACTCTGGGAAACAAACAAGGGGTAGTGGAAGGGGAGGTAGGTAGGGGGTTAGGGTGACTGGGTGATGGGCACTGAGGGGAGCACTTGATGTTATGAGCATGGGGTGTTTTATTAGATGTTGGCAAATCAAACTCCAATAAATAAATATACAAAAAAAAAGAAATTAATTCTACTACTCATAAGCAGATTCCAGTGTAACTAAAGCAATCCTGTGTGCAAATTTGGAGCATCAAGTCTGGTACATCCCATAACTTACCTTGCAGTGTGTATGGTCTTGCTTGGCACTTTCCCGTCCCACACATTTGTGTAGAATTTGTGCCTGAATGAAAATGTCTCTGGTTCCACAGATAGGTGTGTCAGTAAATGTCGGATTGGTGGTGGTGGTGATGGAGGGCAGGAGCTCTCTCAACTTGCTCTGGTTTAGGTGGACACATTGGTTGTGAAACCACAATTGTGGGGACATCTGAGAAATAGACATGTGCATTTCCTCTCTCTTCCTCAGACTGCACATCCTCCTGGGGGATTCCCCTGAGGAAGCTGGATGCTCCCGTCATGGGCATCAGGCCATAGCTCAAGTCCTCCCTTCCACTTACCCTGCTCTGCTTACCCTGTCCATCTGTCTGTCCTTTGACATCTCCAGCCTCTTCTGAACTTAAGTCTTAGCCCACGCCATTTCCTCTGCTAGAAATGCACTTTTCTGGGCTGATTCTTCTTTCTCATTTATACTAGTATCACCTCCTCAGATGAGTCTTTCCTGGTCCACCTGGCAGACCCACCTGTCTGCCTGTGCACACCCACCTGTCCCAACCACTCTGTGCCCCCTTAGCCTACTTAGCTTCTTCTAGCTCAACAATATGAGCTCATTCCATTTGTGTACTTATTTATTTACATACCAAAGTCTCCTCCATCTCTGTAATAGTCCTGGCAGATAGCAAGCACTCAAAAAATACTTGTTGAATGAAAGGAAGAACATGAATGATCAATGTTCCATGGCTTGAGGATGACATTCGAAGCTGAAGGCCTCTGTCCAGTCTCTCACTGCTTTTCTCCCACTGCCAACAAGTACTTGAAAACCTTTTAAAAAATTGTGGAGCTACACTAGACACTGTGAAATCTTAATCAGGAAAATGATTCCATGCTAATAACTTTGCTATCTAATGAATGCCTCCCTTCCCAGGGTCATCATTGTCATATACTAACTCAATCAAGGAATGAATGTAACTTGGACAAGGTCAAACATTGGGGCAAATGTAAATAAGGGCTTGTTTTTTTCAGGGGTGAGAGTGAGAGGGTAGCTATGGGTCTTTGAGGGTTATTCAAAATCAACAGAGATTGTTGATGCCAGGACTGAGTCAGGAGACCTCAGCTAAGCCCTGGCCTGCCACTTACTGAATGTGGGACCATAGACAAAGTATCAAAACTGTCTCACACTCCCTTTCATCATTGATAACCTGGACTAATGGTAAGATGACACCATAGGTGCATTGTAAGGGCTAGTCCAGTTCTGTCTGCAAAAGGGCTTTATAAACTCAGAACTGCTATCAAATCTCAGTTGTTTTTAAAAGTATGCCGCCTTTGCTCAGATGGTCTGTGCCATGCAGACCCCACACAAGACTTATTTTGTCTTCAGAACACAAGATCTTTGTGGATTTTTTAAAAGATTTTATTTATTTATTCATTTTATTTTATTTATTTATTCATGAGACACACACAGAAAGAGAGAGACACAGGCAGAGGAAGAAGCAGGTTCCATGCAGGGAGCCTGACATGGGGCTCCATCCCAGGTCTCCAGGATCAGGCCCTGGGCTCGAGGTGGCACTAAACCGCTGAGCCACCCGGGCTGCCCTCTTTGTGGATTTTTAAGGTGTTACTGATCTGGGACACATTCACATTTTAACATGAGCTTTCAATTAACGGGGGTGGGGGGGGACTAAAAAAGAATAAATGAAATGCTGGGAATTTTAGTTACCACCAAATAAAGGCAGGGGAGGAGGATTTTATAAAAAGCACAAGTTCTGAGGATAGGCCTGGCTCTAAATCCTGCTTCTGCCATTTCTTAGTTGAATGGCCTTGGAGAAAATTCCTTTACTGTTTAGGGACAGGAGTATAGAATTTAAAATTTTATCACTTTAGGAAAGCAAGGCATTCTTGATGGTAATACTTTATATCTGCATAAACCCTCAGGCTTTCACTTAATACTGATGTCTCTTCTGTCTTCCAGGAGAGCAGATAGATACTTCTAAAATGGATAGACTGGTGATGCACACTGCAGCCAAGCTCTTCTGGGAAGTAACAAATATATATGCATTCATAAGATTCAGAAATAACTGCAAAGCAGAGAACACTGTGTCAGTATGCTCCAGTCACACACATGAGAGTCCCCAGTCCCTGTCTACCTCATGCCCATTGGGCCTGAAGGATGTAGTCAAGGGGCATGGCTGCGTGCATCTGTTCAGATGTCTTGGTCTAGGTTATATTAATTACCTTGATGTAGAACTCTAGTTGCTGGAGCCAGGAAGAACTTTTTTTTCCATTTTTTTTTAATTCAGCTTAATTGAGGTAAAATTGACAAATAAAATGGTAAGATATTTAAAGTGTGCATCATGATAATTTGATATACATATACATTGTGAAGGGACCCCCCCCACATGTGGTTTATTAATACATCTACCACCTCACATATGTATTTTATTTTTGGTGAGAATATTTAAGTTCTACTCCCTTAACAGATTTCAATGATCAGTGTTATCAACTATAGTTCCATGTTTTACCTGAAACCCTCAGTCCTTATTCATCTTTTAAAAATTTATTATTGAAGTATTGCTGACATACAATATTTTATTAGTTTTGGGTGTACAGGCTTTATTCATTTTAGAGTTGAAAGTTTGTACTAACACCTCATTTTTCCTCTATCCCTGGTCCCTGGCAACCACTTTTCTACTCTGTTTCTATGAGTTTGAACTTTGTTTTTTTTTTTTTTAGATTCCACGTGTAAGTGATGCACTGCAGTATTTGCCTTTCTGTGTCTGACTTATTTCACTTAGCATAATGTCCTCAGGGTCCAATCATGTTGTCCCAAATGGCAGGATTTCCTTCTTTCTCATGGTTGAATAATATTCCTGTGTGTGTGTGTGTGTGTGTGTGTGTGTGTGTGTATCTCACATCTTTTATGCATTTTTTCCACTGATGGGCACGTAGGTTCTTTCCATATTTTGGCTATTGTGAATGATGCTGCATTAAACATGGGCATACAGAAATCTTTTCAATAACCTGCTTTCGTTTCCTTTGGATATATACTTAGAAGTGGGATTGCTGGATCATAGGGTAGTACTATTTTTAATTTTTTGAAGAATCTCTTTACTGTTCATCACAAAGGTTGAATCAATTTACATTCCTATCAATAGTGCATAAGGGTTCCCTAGGAAGAACTTTAAAGACCCTAATTTACCATTTCACAGGTAAGAAAGTTGGGGTTCAGATTTATCAAGTGAATTGACTAACCAGGTTTTGGAGTTGAGACTAATCCCAGTTCCCCTGACTCTTTTTTTTTTTAAGGTTTTATTTATTTATTCATGAGAGACAGAGAGAGAGAGAGAGAGAAAGAGAGAGAGAGAGAGAGACAGAGAGAAAGAGAGAGAGAAGCAGGCTCCATGCAGGGAGCCCAACTTGGGATTGGATCACGCCCTGGGCTGAAGGTGGCACTAAACCGCTGAGCCACCTGGGCTGCCCTCCTCTGACTCTCTTAACAGTAGTCTTTCACACTGAATCACTTGATGTAAACCAAGTCCTGTGTGTAGGAACACATGGGTTTGGGAGCTTGAAGATTCTAGTGGTTCTCTCATTGATATGCACCATGTTACTCCTGAGCCAGGCTGATGATTTCCCATTTCCTCAGACTCCCCTGGGGATAAGAAGCTTGGAATTCCAATCAGACGCTCTTAGATTCTGAGCTTTTTAATGGAACGTGTCCTACTATCCTTGTGAATTTGGAAAGAGCAAAGGCAACATGCTTTCCACTGGCTGGAGAGTCAATGACTTGATGAAGATTGTCTTGACGTGGGTGTGCCCAGTGAGCCCTGCAACAGCAAACCGCAGCTCTCTGCCACACTCATCATTTTAGTCAATTAATTAGGTTCCGGCCTAAAAGGGCCATTAATCTCTATAGATTTTGTGTGCCAAGCTCCAGAATCTCTTCTGTTGAAAAATATGCTGTTCCACTTGCAAACTTGGAGCAGAGAAAAAGAAAAGACAAACAGCTGGCTCATCAAGTCTTGGCCAGGGATGTTCACCATTGTGGGCTGACTCATGTTCTTGGCTAGAGAAGTGGATGCCAGTTTGGTGTCCTAGAAACCTGCTCTTCCACTGTGGAATTGGGGTGCTAAAAGCCACCAAATGTTATGCCAGAGAGCTGAGAAGTGCTGGAATGATCATTTCTAATATGTTCATCCCTATTCCCTCTTGCCCCCACTTCCACCTCCAGCCCTTGAATTTCTAATAAAAATCCCCTCAGTCTAAATGCTGTAGTGGAAAGAGCACTACAAAGACCTAAGGCTTTTGATCGCTGTCTACTCTTCTTTAGCTGTGAGTCCTCAGCCAAGTCACTTAACCTCCTTGGGCTTTGTATCAGTTTCCTGGTACTGCTGTAACAAATGACCACATACCTAGTAGCTTGAAACAAACATGGAAATTTATTCTTTTGCAGTTCTTATGGCCAATCTGAAGTCTGAAATCTGTATTGCTATGCTGAAATAAAGATGTTGGTAAGGCCATGCTTCCTTCAGAGATACTAGGGAGAACCTTTTCTCCCCTCTTCCAGCTTCTAGTGGTGGAAGGCATGCCACTAAAGGTAAATGACACTTGGCAGGCGACATTCATTTTATTTAATGAACATTTACTGAACACTCCTTCTGATCTTACAGGGCCTGGGAATATAATAGTGAACAAAACAGATTAAGTCATTCTCCCCCATACACAGGCAAAGTACTCTCATGCCATCCCATGGGAGACAAACCAAAAATTCTATGTAGACACTTAGTCACCAGCTGAAAATCTAGGGGCTGTGGGTGATGCAAGAATGTCTCTATATTGGATGGTAATGCTCAGTGGTGTCCACATCAGATCTGGATGTGACTCATCTTGATGTACAGGTCTATGAACTAAATTAAAAGACAAGTCTTATGTTATTTATTAGTTTCCTATAATTGTCATAAGTAATTAACAATGACTGGTGGCTTAAAACAATAGAAATTTATTCTCTCACAATTCTGGAGACCAGAACTTCAAAATCAAGGTGTTAGGAGGGCTATGCTCCCTCTAAAGCCTCCTTACCTCTTCCAGTGTCTGGCATCTGTAGGTGTAGCATGTGGCTGCACTACTCCATTCTCTGCCTCTGTCTTCACATGGCTTCCCTTCTGCTGTCTGTGTGTGTATCCATGTGTGACACTCATCATTGGACTTGGGGCCCACTCAGATAATCCAGGATGATCTTATTTCAAGAGTCTTAATTTAATTCTATCTACAGAGACTCTTTCTGGAATAAGGTCACATTCATAGGTTAAGGGGTTTAGGATATGGACATATCCTTTTAGGATATATCATTGTGGCTCTCTCTAGTCCTTCCTCTGGCCAAAACTCACATCCATCCACAAGCAAAATGCACCCACTCATCCCAATACTCTCCAAATTTTTAGTCCATAATAACAACATCAACTCTAAGTCTCAATCTTATACAAATGTCATCAATTCAAAAACTCCCCATTGTCATTACCTGAACTATTTAAATCTGTTTATGGATAAGACTCTGAGTATACTTGATCCTGGGGAAAAATTCCTTTCTGTTTAAGAACTCATGAAACTAGAAATCAAGATACATGCTCCCCAAACACAATGGTGTAATAGGCCTAGGATACAAATTCCAATTCTAAAAGGGAGGAATTAGAGAAAATTAAAGGGTCACTGGTCCCAAGCAAGGTCTAAGTCCAGCAGGGGAAATTCTTTTAGGTTCCAAAGCGAGAGAGTAATCATTTGTGGCAAGATTCCACCCCTTGGTCACATGATGACTTGACTGATCTCCAAGCCCCTGGCAGCCATCTTTCCTTTCTTGCAGGGTAACCTGTGTTTGCAGCTGAGTAGCTCTATCAACCAATTTCCTTACTGTGGAATTTTGGAAGACCCATGGCCTTCTTTCATTTTTTCCTATCTCTGTCCCTTTCAGTACAAGCTGTCAACTTGTGATACAACTACAAAGACCTCTTTTTCACAAATAAGATCATGTTCACAGTTTCTAGTGATTAGAATGTGGACCTATCTTTTTGGGGGCCACCATTCAACCCACTACATGCTCCCATCCCCATGCTCAATATATAGTAGTGGAATACAACAGGATAACTGAAAGAAACACTTTGGTTCCTGAGTGAAAAGAATGTGAGAATCTCCAGTCACTGGTCTGTAGCAATTCTGAACTCTTACCTGGCAGATGTTGTGATGTTCCTCTATTTGGGGAATGGGAAGTGCTTCTTGATTAACCCGTACTCTTGGAGTAGTTCCCCAGCCTGGTGTTCTCCATGTAACTTCCCCATGTCCACCTCCTGGGGAGATTCTTCTTTTTCCATAATCCTGAAATGGTATTTTAGAACATGCCCTTCTTGAGATCTGAATAGCTTTCATAGTCATAAACTGTGGGATCCAAGTGCCATTTTGAATTTTGAATACCGTAAACGTTTTTAGTCCAGGATCACAGTTTCTTTGGCAATATAACTCTTTAAAAACTCACTGAGATCCTTATCTGTTTGCTCCTACTCAGTTCTCTGTGCCAATAGCCACACCTACAGTTCTTTCCCAGACATTTCTTATATTCACTATATTTTCATGCTTTCTTTATCTCATGCCTTTCTTTCAAATTATTTGTGAGTTTCTCAGTGTATCAGTCTTCAGTGGGAGAACCACATGTCTATCTCTATACTGTGAACTGTTCGCTCAATTGCAGATATACACTGGGTACTATAAAATTAAATGGATCTCTGCTCTGAGACACCTTATTTCATTAGGAGGTTTGACAAATGGGTGTTATGGACATGCCCTTGAGTCTATCCTTTACTCAAGGCTGAATTTTAATGGTTCAAATGTCCTCACAGTTTTATCTTTTACTGCTTAGCACAATAAAATGTAGCCTTTTCTACCCGTACACATACTCAAATTCCTGGATATTCTCTATTTCTTTCTCTGAGCTTATCTTTTTCTTGTGTCTTACCAAATTCAGCCAACTAAAGAAAACAAGCTACTAGCTTTCTTTTTCTTTTCTTTTCTCTTCTCTTCCCTTTTTTTCTTCTCTTTTCTTTCTTTTTCTTTCTTTTTTTTTTTTAGAGTGAGAGAGAGCATGGAAGGGGAGAGTGGAGGGGCAAAAGGAGAGAGAGAGAGAGAGAGAGAGAGAGTTGCAAACAAGCTCTATATCCAGTCCAGGGCCCAATGTGGGTCCCACTACCCTGAGATCATGACCCTGGCAGAAAGTAAGAGTAGGATGCTTAATAGATTGAGCCACCCAGGTGCACCTAATAACATCCTTTTTATAGAATTTTCTCTGATATATGAATGTTCATTAGGGACTTCATTTGCCTTCCAAATTATTATTGGCAGCATTTTTATTAAATATTTTGTCATTGTTAGCATTCTTCCAGCCTCTAATAATAGTTCCAGTTTCTGATTCAGCTAGAAGGTATAGATTTTGTTGAAGTAAGAAAAGACTTCAAAAGGCTTTTAACTACAAAGTTTTATTTTTTGTTCACACTGTATGTCTAATGTAGATTGGCTGGGTGGGTAGAGGGTTGCTTCTTGTCTTCTGCAATCCAAAATAATGGTTATTGTGTGTCTTGTAATTTTCAACCATAATATCAGTTTTGTGGTCTACATGTTAAGCACTTTGTCATCAAAACACAAAAATTAAACAATTCTTTTCACTTTTAGCTTTATCATTAGCTTCATTCAAATAAATAGAAAACTCATAGCTGAAACAATTTTTTTTTATTTTATTTATTTTAACAGACTTTGATTCACTTTATTTTTCTTGTATAAAACTATACGGTGGCCACAGCTGGAGTCTGGTGTGGGTATTTACAAGACAGTCAGTGAATTCCTGATAAGGAGACTTAATGAACACAGTCTCTTTCTAGAGGTCAGGGGTGAGATACCTGTAGCATCAGAAGTGGCTATGGCCAAGTTGCCCAGGGTGGCAGTGAAGCCCCTGGCCCAGTGAGGTGTAGAAGTTATCAATCCTGGCCATCATCAGTAGCTTCTTGGGTACAGGGGCTGAGATCATATCTCTGGGGGCATCAATGAGGTGCACAGAGCCACAGTGGCTGGTCACCTTGTGAGGGACAGTTTGGGGCTTGCTGATCTTGCCACATGGGGATTACAGAGAGCTTGTTTAGGATCATAGCCCCATGGATGGCAGTGGCTACCTCCTTAGAGCACTTAACAGCCAAACCAACATGTCCACTGCAATCTCCAATGGCAACAAATGCCTAGAACCTCATCTGTTGGGCAGCATGGGTCTACTTTTGCATATGCAGTATCTTCAAAACCTTATCCTTGAGGAATGCCCCCAGGAAACAGTAAATGATCTTAGATTCCCTAATGTGTGAGGAAAAGTGATAGATCTCCTTCAGGGATTTGATTTTCATATCCTTGACCAGATGGTCCAGCTTGGTGACAGGGATCCACCCCCTTGTCCTCAATATTATCTCCATGGTTTCCCAGCCTTTGCCTCACCCAGACTCACCATGATCCTTCCCAGACCCCAGCCTGGATGCTTTAGGGAAGTCTCTGTGGAAGCCACTTGGCCTTCCATTCCAGGGGCCTCCCTTTCTAGGGGCCTGCTTCATCACTTATGTTATCCACCATTTGGTATTTTCTTGGAGAAGTTGAAACTATCTTATTTTTTAAATTAGCAAACCTTAGTTCTGAGTTAGTGAGCAAAATTGATCTGATGGCTGAGAAGCTGAACATTTGTGGCCCACAAATTAAGAGTACCACAAACGATTTCTCCTTGCTTTAATACTTAATATATTTGATGCAAATTATCTCAGCATCCATTCTGATAACATTGAGTTGTGGGTGTGATGGTGATTAGAGTTATTTCTCAAATATTTTCAGTTTTCCCTCTGTACTTCCAGACCCCTTGGTGGTTGTATAGGTCTGGGACTCTTTCTAACCCATAAGTGCTAAACAAAGTAACACCTTCAAAAATTTTCTTTTTTTTTTCTTGCAACCCTGACCAGCAATATTTGAGATGATGTCTGTTCAACCAACCTGGGTTCTGCAGTAGAGATGAGAAAAAAATTGAACTTTGTATTTCAAAGCCATTTGAAGTTTCTCTGTTAGTTCAACAAGATTTGTACTTATTGATACAGAAATTGAAACTATTATTGGAGGCTGGAAAAACCAACTTGCAAATGTGTTAAATTAAAAGTAGAGAGTATTGCAAACATGCTTCATTATCTAACAGGTCACAAGGGAAAGTTGAACAACAGCAAAAAACTATTAAAGGACTTGAAGGCATCAGACTTTAGGAGCAATTGAATTGAAGACTGAATATGCTCAGTGCTCTTTCTTTCAGTTCTGCTTTTTTTCACATGTCAGCTTTTTTCTCCTCTTTCACCATAGGTCAGTCTTTCCACAGATGAGAAAATATGGCTATGGACAGTTTTTTAGTTTTATGCATTATAGTGTTGTTCACCTGGAAGAGACTGGGTTAATTTTTCCCAAATACATGAGGAAATCCAAGAAATAGAATCACTGGTATGAGGCATTTATCTACCCTTGAATCAATTAGCTGTGGTGCAATGTAGTAGGACTTGCAACCACAACTTATTGGTGAAAATATGAGGACTGGGTGATTGTGAGGAGTGTGATGACCTTGTGTTCATGTGTAACAGTGTGACAACCCTGTGCTTATGTGGGGAGGTTGAGGACCCTGTGCTCACGTGGGGAGTGTGAGGACCTTGTGCTCACTAGGTGAATGTGAGAACCCTGTGCTCACATGGGGGAGTGTGAGGACCCTGTGCTCCTAAGGGGAGGATAAGGACCATGTGCTCATGTGTAAGTGTGAGGACCCTGTGCTTATGTGGGAGTGTGATTTCTTGTTCTTGTATGGTGACTTCCTTTATACTCATGTGAATGGGGAGGGGCTTTGAATGAGTAATTCTTGCATAGGTATCTTCACTACTTGTTAATTTTTTTTTAATGTTTCCTCACTAAGTTTGCTAGTTAAACAGATCAAATCAATCATTCATTTTGGACTCATTTAGGAAAAGCAAACATTTCCTTTAAAACACGAGGATAACAGGACAAGCAATTCATGAAGACAAGGCCAAATGTTTCCTAGCTGAACTAACATAGTTTCAGAAAGTCTTTTATACATTTAACCTGTCAGTGGAAAGAGAGTTGGAGAGGCCTTTATTTATTTTGTAGGGTACTGTGGGTCTCAAAAGGCATCAGTTACCATATTGAATCCTGCTGTCTCTAAATATTTTGTGTCTCAGCCAAAAAACAATTTTCTGCTCTTCTTTCTGGGTTTATAAGATATTATAGCAGCCTGCAACATCAAAATTATTACTTAGGTGTGAGATGAGTGACTCACAACTTAATAGTGATTCTAGAAGCTTTGGTTAGCTTCTCTCTTGAGAGTGCGCATTTATTCCAAATAGTAGATGCCAATACCATGAAAAAGCATTGCCAAACTTCATTAGTAAAGTTAACCCTGCTGACTCCCTAGCTATAGTGCATACATTGTGCATCATGGAGAAAGGTATGCCTACTGCGTTTCCTTTCCTAAAATGGAGGTGGTAATACTGACCTCATGTGAAAAGGATATATGCCTTGAATTTTATTATTTGTTTCTGAGTGGTTTCTCTGATCAGAGCTATTTACTATTGCTTATTTTCTTTTGGCATATACAGTTGAGAAAGATGTATAACAACCCTGCAGAATCTGACTTGTTCAACTCTTTGAGGCATAACAACTGCTTTAGAGGAACAGACTAAAGTAAATAAAATTCTTGGAGGATCTGGGCCTTTGGAGCAATCTGAGAGTGCCCAATGGCCTGGATGGAGAATTTTTGGTGTCTCCTCATATCTATCAATGTTCCTAATTTATTTGTTGTTTCCAATTCTCAACAAGAAGGACATGAAGCGGAATTGTTAAAAATTATCTATATTCAAGGTAGCAATTTTAATGAGATTAAAATATAATAAAGATTATTTAAAAATATAAGTGAGGTTAGCACTTACTCAGAGTAAGGCTTCAGTATTGGGTTCCTTGAAACGAACAGAATTCTGGTTAAAAAAAAAAAATCAACCAACCAAAGAACAATAGAGAATTAGAGGCCATGCAGAATTATTTGTCACCTAGCAACTTTTTGTGTCTGTCTCACTTGGATTGAGGCCAGACATTGAGTTTATAATGATGAACAAGAATGATATTGCATAAGCAAATGAAGTTAGTGGAAAGAAAATACACAAGCATATGAATTACAAAAATCAATTATATATGTTTCAGGTAGGTCTCTTTTTACCCATTGTCAAGTTTTCATCTTAAGATTTTGTGCAAATTTTATTTTCCAT